TAGAAGGAGAATTGATGCCTTTGAGCTATGGTGCTGGAGAAGAGTATTGAGAATACCATGGACTGGTTGATTTGAACTGCCAAAGAGGTGTGACCTTTGTGCTAGGAACACAAGTCTCCCTAATGCTGATTGTGCATTCTTTTTGAGTATATGTTTATCTACATAAGTATTTAAATAACTAAGTATTTAAACGACCTCATACCGCTTGTGACTAATATTGCCACATATATTCAAGTGAAATGTTAAGATCCACTACCTCCCCTGCATCTGAAAATAGCAATGGGCAGAGGAAAATTCCTGCCCTTTATGCTATGATTTCATCCATCTACTTGACCTTCACCTCCAGAGCTGCTTATCTTAGCCAACACACTTGCTACTACCTTTAGGGAATCATAGGAAAAATCCTTCTTTTCTATCTATATCTGAAGGTCGGTGAGGAGAAGAGGCTAAGACTTAAGACAAAGTGGTATTATGGGGTTGGTCAGCCATCCTGTTGCTGGAGATGTGATAAGAGTTGGTTATAGGATTGACTCCTGGCCAAGGCTTCAATGCCTGTGACACTACGCTGGACAGATGCATAGGCTTCTCATGAGCATTTGTTAAACCTATTTGATATGATTTTGTCTTTGATTTAAAAAAAAGAAGATGCTTTTGTGTGTGTGTGTGAATTTATTCCTTGTAACATTTACAGAGAGATTCGGAATATGAGAAGTTTAACTTACATACATCCTGATGCCCTGAAAAAGCTCCCCCTTCTGAAGTTCCTGTAAGTATTAATTGTTCTCCCATGTTCATTTTTTGTTGTTGTTCTTTAGGCAAATTAGAATGCTCCTCTCTGCTGGGAAGGTTTCTGGGTAGCACAAACAGTGTTCACTTGACCACTGATCTAAAGACTGATGGTTCAAACCCACCCCGGGCCACAGGGAAGAGAGGCCTGGTAATCTGCTCTGTAAAGATTTCAGGCTAACGTATTCGAAGGAGAGTTGTGCCTTGTAACACTTGAGGTCTCCATGATCAGAATCAACTCCACAGTAACACACTCGGCTTGGGTTTTGTCTGCCAAGAGTCTCTGGAGTTAAGGTCATCTCACTGTTATGGAGCTTGGGTCAAATCAGATCCCAGGCCTTACACTCTCACCTCCCTATCAGTCAAAGAAAGGAACTGGGTGACAAAGACAACATTCTTGTAAAACTTTTACAAACTCAACAATGTGTTGGCCCAGCAACCTGCCCCAAGGACATATGGGAGCAAAAAGGAAACTTGCATGGTCTTAACTTGAAATACACCAGAACAAAACAAATACATGAGAAACCCTCATAACTAGGATTTCCATTTTATTAGGGAAATACGTAACAAAGCAATATCAAATTGGTGGGGGGGGTGGCGACAGTGTTAGTTTCAGTCAAGTTGATGACCATGCTTAGCAACCCTCTGTACAACAGATCTGAGGTCCATCCTACACTGTCCTCACAATCTCTGTCATGGTCAAGGCCAATGTGATAGTCACTGTGTGAATTCATCTTGAAGGTTTTCCTCTCTTTAATAGACTCTCTCTAAGGATTGGTTTCTCCTGAAAATATGCACAGTGTATTTGAGATGAACTGTCACCATCCTGGCCTCTAAGAAGCACTCTAATTGCACTTTTCAATGTAGATTTGTGTTTTTCTTGTGGCAACCCATGATAAATTCAATACTCTTTACCAATAACACAATTCAAAGTCATTGATTCTTTTTAGTCTTCCTTATTCCTTATTTTCCTAACTCATTATTTTGCCAATGCACTAAAGGCATTGGCAAAAATAAGGCCTCAGAAATTGGTGGAATAACAACTGAGGTATTTCAGAAAACAGATGTAACCTTGTATGTACTCACCAGTCTCAGCCAACAAATATGGATGACAGCTACCTGGCCAACTGACTGATAGAGATAGTTGTTCCTATTCCCAAAAGAAGATGATCCAACAGAATGTATAAATTATCAATTAATATCATAAATAAGTAAAATCTTGTGGAAGATTATTTTAAAATGGCTGGAGAGCTGCCCAAAATGCAAGCTGCATTCAGAAGAGGCTACGGCATTAAAGATATCATTGCCGATGACAGATGGATTTTGGCTAAAAGCCGAGAACACCAAAAAGATGTTTACTTGTGTTTTATTGATCAAGACTCCATGGATCATAACAAATTACGGCTATCATTGAAAAGGATGGGAACCCCAGAACACTTAATTGTGCTCATGTTAAACCTAAATATAGACCAAGAAATAGTTCTCCAAACAATGAAGGAAACATTGCATGGTTTAAATTCAGGAAAGTTATGCATCCCGGTTGCATCCTTTCTGCAAAGCTATTCAATCTGTATACTGATCTGATCATTTGAGAAGCTAGACTATATGTAGAGTAGAGTGACATCAGGATTGGAGGATGCAACAACAACCTGTGTTATGCAAATGACACAGCCTAGTTTGCAGAAAATTAAAAAGACTTGAAGCTTTCCTGTAGATGATCAGAGAGTATAGCCTTCACTATAGATTATTACATCTCAACTTCAAGAAAAAAATCTTCACCAGTGGAACAATAGGCAACATCATGATGTTGTTGTTGTTGTTATTGTTATGTGCCATCGAGTCACTTGCATAGCCACCCTATGTACAACAGCCCTAAACTCTGCTCTGTACCTGGGCCAATCGCCGACACACCCACCCCCATTACCCTAGTCACTGAATCAATCCACCTCATAGAGAGCCTTCCCCTCCTGCACTGTCGCTCCACCCTCCCAAGCATGATGTCCTTCTCCAAGGACCGGTCTCTCCTCACAACATGTCCAAAGTATGTCAGATGGAGCCTCAGAATCCTTGCCTCCAGGGAGTCACATGGTTTAACCCTTTCCAGGATGAATCTGTTTGTTTTCCCAGCAGTCCATGGTATTCTCAATACTGTTCTCCAGCACCACAGCTCAAAGGCATCAATTCTCCTTCTAACCTCTTTGGTCATTGTCCAACTCTCTGATGCATAACAAATGATTGCAAAGACCATGGCCTCTATCAGACGCATCTTAGTCTCCAGAGAGACACCACTGCTCTTCAGTACTTTGGAGAGGTCCCTAACAGCAGACTTTCCCATGGCAATGCACCTTTTAATTTCCTGGCTACTGGTGCCAAGAGTATTGACTGTGTAGCGAAGCAAACTAAAGCTGTGAACAATCTCAATCTCTTCACCATCCTTCCTGATACTGCCAATTGGTCCAGTGGTGAGAATCTTTGTGTTCTTGACATTGAGCCTCAATCCATTTGGAGGCTGCAGTCCTTGACACTCTGCAGCAGGCGCTTCAGGTCCTCCTTAGCTTCAGCAAGCAGGGTTGTGTCATCTGCATAATGCAGATTGTTGATAGATCTTCCACCAATCTTGACCTCACATTTCTCCTCATAGAGCCCAGCCTCCCGGATAATCTGTTCTGCATACATGTTGAAAAGGTATGGAGATAGAACACATCCCTGGCGTATGCCCTTCCCTATTTTGAACCATGCCGTGTTCCCTTGTTCTGTTCTGACGACTGCCTCCTTGTCCAAGTATAGAACAAGCATTAGAACAATCAAGTGTTCTGGGATTCCCATTCTTCTCAGAGTCAGCCACAGTTTGTTATGATCCACACAGTCAAATGCCTTTGCATAGTCAATGAAACACAGATATACATTCCTCTGGTGGTGATTAATTTTGTAGAACATAATGAGTAGGAATGAACGTATGAAATACAATTTAAATGAAGAATAGTGTGAAACACTATTTATATAAACTTTGTAAGCAAAACAATATAAATATAAATATAAATTTTTTTGTTAAAAAAAGTGGGGGGGGGGCTACTGATGGAAGATAAAGTATCCAAAGAAGAACTCTTGGAGAACAATAAACATTAGATACACAGCAAGGTGATCACTCTTGTGGAATTTGAATGTCAGTGAACCAAGAACTGACTCATTGTTAAGCTAATGCCCTATTGTATGCAAGGATCTGTGGAGAACACACAGGATTAGAAGATATTTACCTGCTTTCAAGAGTCTTAAGTGTCTAGCTGGGGAGGTAGTACACAGAGTTGAAAAGCAATCTTTTATAGGAGAATGATGGTCAATGGCAAAGGAGAGATACACACTGTTTGTTGGTATAGAGAATTAGTTTTTGTTGTGATCCTAACTCACAGCAACCCTGTAAGATAAGGTAGCACTGCCCTGCTGGGTTCCCAAGGCTGTATCCTTGTGAGAGCTGGTTTAGAATGACTCACGGGTTTGAATGGCCAACCTTCCTATTAGCAGTCAAGTGCTTAATTTTTGTGCCACCAGGGTACATCAGATAAATAGAGGAAATATCAAAAAGCAGACAGACTTGCTCCGGATTTTAACAAAAGAGGGTCCTGATCCAAAGTCCAGTCAGGCCTTCATTGTCCTTTACTATCTGGCCTCCACTTAACCCTTACTCTTTTCTGCCCTTTCTCCCTGAACTTCAGTTCAATTGAACTAGTTTGTTTATGATTCCTCATTATATCTTATAGAATTCCATCTGTCTCTTATTATCTGGAATGTTCTAGATCTTGTTTTGATGCTCTGACTTCTGCTTCTTCAGACACTCTGCTTTCCCAGCTGAAGGAGTAGAGTATACATTTGTACATCAACAGAATGACACGTATCCACTAGAAGTTTCCCTATAGCTTCACTGAGGTCTAGTCCCCTGGCATGCTAGCCCTCTCAGAAGAGCCTCTATTTCCACTACCTGCATCCTAGAAGCTGTAGCTGCAACAAATACTACACTATTTAAATGCTGAATATAACAGGGACCTGAGGGTTTATGGACTTAACATTGCTTTATGTATGCTTTTTAATCTTGCTATTTTACCCTAGGTGACACAAACTTTGGCAAGATTAGACATTGTCTTTATTGATGTCTTTCCTTCTCTGAATGTGTTTTTAAATGGTATATCTGTCATGGGTCTCCCAGGTCACTGCTGCTGTAGGAAGGCCCTTGGTGACAAAATACCTAACACAAATCAAATGTAGCATGTAAAAAAGGGAAATGTGACCTGGAGATAAGCTATTCCTGCCCCATCCTCCTCCTGTGCCCCCTCCTACACAGCTTTATCCTACTAAAGCACATACCTGAAAACTCTCTTCTCATTTTCTCACAGTCACACACACACACACACACACACACACACACACACACACACATCCAAGAAACATAAATATCTATTTTCATGTTCTGGAGAAGAGTATTGAATATACCACGTACTGCCAGGAGAACAAACAGGTTCACCCTGAAGAGGGTGAAACCAGACTGCTCCTTGGAGGCCAAGGATTCTGAAGCATCATCTGACATACTCTGGGCATGTTCCATGGAGGAACCAGTCTTTGGAGAGGGACATCATGCTTGGGAGGGTGGAGGGACTGTGCAGGATAGGAAGACCCGAATGAGATGGACTGATTCAGTGACTGGGTTAATGAGGGTAGATGTGTCAGAGACAATAAGGTTGGCACAGGATAAAGCAGGGATCAGGGCTGTTGTACACAGGGTCGCTATGAGTTGCAAGGCATTCTACGACACCATAACAACAACACAACAGCAATGGTCTTATTTCAGGGAGCTCTGGTGATTTAGTGGTAAGAAATCTCGTGACAACACAAAGGAGAGCAGTTCAAATTCACGATCTGCTCCATGTGAGAAAGATGGACAATCTCCTCTCATACAATTCACAGCCTCTGTAAACCTGCTGGAACAACAGTAATAATCTTATTTCACTTAGAGGATTCCCAGACTCCACTGTCTGGTGGAGGACTTGACACAGTGGACTGACTGCAATGGAGTCTTGTACCCAGGGTGGACAGTATGTCACCTGTGGATTTGAATTTACCCATTGTTTCTCCAATCCCAAACCCACACATTCAACAATTATATTATTCTACTCTTTTTCTTTTTCTTCATTATTCTGCTCTACCTATTCATTTTATTTAAATTGTGTCTTTTTCTTTTGTCTGTAATCTAGGGGGATTTTCAACACTGGACTTAAAGTCTTTCCTGACCTGACCAAAATTTCTTCCACTTATGTGTTCTTTATACTGTAAGTATACATAAATGCAGTGTTTGGTGAGGTTGATGCCACGGGAGAGAATTACCTCAAAGAGGAAAGAGTAACTGTCATGCCACGTGCACTAGCGGATGAAGTAAGGCGAGGACTGAGGCATTTTCAGTGTACTTAGGTGTATGAGGTTTGGATGATTCTGACATGAGAGGAGAAGCAGGTGTGATTGCAATGGACTCAGTTCACTGCAGGGAGAAAACACTTCTGAGAACTTTACTACAAACGGAAGCAGAAAATTTGCAGTAGTAGTTTGTACAAGATCTTGAATCGGGAGGAAAGTTATTTGTGAGTTTTCAGTGGAAGAAATGATGGTATATTTGTGTGCTGATAAAGGGACTGATATCAAGGTTGAGGGTTGAGACTGAGAAAGATGGGATAAATAATGTATACTGCATTGAAACAGATAAGAGAGAAAACTGTTTAAAAGGGATATAGGGGGGGGGGAATGGATATATGATTAAGTATTACTGTCATGACAGGAGTCCAGAATGAAGGCTGCATAGTGGAGTGGACTTAGAGGGAGGGATTGTATAACAATAAAAGAATTTTTGTTTTACTTTTCAAAGAGAAGAACGAACTGGGGTAGAGGGGTGGGCAGGGAGAAAAGTGCAACATTGAATGAATGGAAATCCAAAATCTGTAAGTTTTCATTAAAATTAATAATAATAACAAGAAGTTAATTTAAGAAGTGGTTGACTAGAAGGAAAATTTGATGATGATGATGATAATTAATACACCTTATATTTAATGTGCTCTTTAATAGCATTTTTAAAATATAAATATAAACATATATCTATCTATCTCTATCTCTATTCCTATCCCTATCCCTATCCATATCCATATCTATATCTATATCATCTATATATCTATATCTATATCTAATCTATATCTATATCTATCTATATATCCATATCTATCTCCAGCCACCTTATAAGGGAGCTCTGGTGGCTTAGTGGTAAGGAATTGCACTGAAAACCGCAAGGCATATGGTTCAAATCCACCAGCTGCTCTGCAGGAGAACACTGGGCAGTCTCCTCCTGTGTGATTTACTGCCTCTGAAAACCCACTGGAGGGTCAGCTATGAGCCGACCCTGACTCAACAGTACACAACAACAAGAAGCTTCCTTATACAGCATAAGGTGAAGACTTTTTTCCATTTTACAAATTAAGAAACAGAACAAAATCCAAAGAGCACTTCATAGTGAGGCGCCACTACCTCCTGTAGCTTCTGATTGATGGCCACGTGCTCTTTTCCAAGTCCAGTGACACAGATCCATTGTCTTACTCTACTTGTAAAGAAGAGAAAGGACATACCCAAAGAGAGCCCCCAGCTGAGTCAGCACTGCATAGTTATCAAAACAGGGAACCAAAATCAAGAGTAATCATACATCTTTGCTGCAGAAGAGCTCAACTCAAAATACAGGCCGGCTTCCAGGAGCTTAAGTTGACACAGAAACATTTGACAAAAGCATTTGCCTGGCAGAGCTGTCTAAGTGGAAGACGTGTTAGTAATACTTTTACAGTGAAATCCATCTAACCCTCTCAGACATAAACACACTTAGAAAATTCTAGCTGCTACGAACTGTGTGCTTCAGCATTAGAAACACCTGAGACCCACCTGCTCCTCTTGTAGATGAGAAGAACCCCAGTCCACACTCAAGTCTTACTGGCTTACTGTACATTGGAGACTCAGAGTGCATGTCCATTTAAGATAGCTCTCCCCGCTTCTCCACACTACTACACTGGCTAAGGGGGTTGAGAACTCTTAAAAAGAGCTAAGATTGTAAAATACCATGCAAGGTTGGGTATGTAAGTGCATATGTGCAGGGGCAGCCTTAAACTAGATCAGCTCTGAGAGCAAAGTCTTTTTCTCCTGAAATGTTTCTGTTCTTCTGTCTGGCAGAGAAATTATAGACAACCCGTATATGACTTCAATTCCTGTGAACGCTTTTCAGGGGCTGAGCAATGAGACCGTCACACTGTGAGTATTGCCAACTGCACTGTGGACAATTGTATTTTTACTTATGTCGATGTCCTATTTTTACAGGTTAAGAGAACAATACCTGGATACGGATCTTATAGTCTGCAAAGGGTTTCACATAACTGAGTAAGAGTAGATCTTTACACTTTGTTTCCTATGGTCTACAGAAGGTTTCACCTAACTTAATAAGAACATTACTCTATAGCATGACACTCTGTAGACTACAGAAAGAATAAGTCAGATGGTTTGAATACACCCTGAGATGTCTTGAAAGAAAAATGAGGTTCTCTGAAAGTTTAAGTTTTGAAAACTCTGGAGCATATTTCTTCATCAGAATCAATTAAATGGTATCTGGTGATAACGGTGGTAGGTTCTTGTATGTTAATGATGATACATTTTCGTTTTTCCTTAAAGAGGCAAGTTAGCCTTTACTTACTATACTGACTCAATATTATCTTTGCAAGGTGAAAGTATCCCTACACAATATGTAATAGAATGAATATGGCTGTGTTCCAATAAAGTTTTATTTATACTAACAGGCACTGGTTTACATTTGGCCTGCAGATCTTTTGGTATAAATTTCTGTAGTGTAGTATTCCCTTCTACAGAGGAAGAACCTGGGGTTTAAGTGAATTTCTCTGGGTCACTAAGTTAGAAAATGGTGCTACCACAGACTTTGTACATGATTTGCACTTATACTTTAACTCAGTAATCACAAACTATTATAAGCTCCTATGAGGGGACACTGAAATACCAGCATACCATCATTATCCATCATCATGATTTCACAGCTTCAATAGACTCTGCTCTTTAGAGGTTTGAAAATAGATGCATTTCTTTGAAATGATAAGAGAAATTCACAAAATGTTCTCATGGGGGAAACTGATAGAAGTATAAAAGAAAAGTTAGCTAAGTTGGTAGAAAAGGTCTCTCATCAGCTTAGTCATCAAATAGGGTCAGTGAAACCTTCAAAAGAACTTCTTTCTTCATGCCCTGGACACAGCCTGAGCTCAGACCTTGTAGCGCATGGAATGCCATTTCAGCTTTTTTTCTTGGGTCACATTGCAGCCAACAGTTATTCATCAGATAAGAATCTGATGGAAATATTCTCAGCAAAACTGATCTAAGCCTTCATGCAGCTCTTCTATATGGTTATTTTCCCAGCTCCCCTGGATCTATCAATCCAAGCCCTGGGAAGCTACTTCAGTCACTGAGACTCTAGTCTGAGTATCCAGTCATTGCACCCCTTACAACAAGCAGAGACCTCTCTTAAAAAGACAAGCAACTTCTTCTCAAGCTATTTCTTTTCTGACACCTAAACGAAGACCTGCTCAGATTCAATATCAAGGCCTTCTACCTCCTTTGTTCAAATTTCTATTGTGCCATCAAGCACCAATTACAAATAAAGCGCATTATTTCATCTTAATATGTTAGAACATTATTTCCTCTTCTGTGTTATTTTTTCCCTGAAGATTCCATATTGCATGCATTCTGCTCCATCAAAAATGTCTGAATGTCTCACTCTTAGCACAGTCCCTAGTAGGTAACTGATAAGCATCTTAAGAGCAATCCTGTGGTCTCCTAAAAACTAGAGTTAGAGAAAGGATGGATTCTCCATTGTCATTTCCAGAAGATTACATCCACATTCCGTTTTTCATTTTTGTCACTTTTAGTCTCCTCATCATCTCAACTCCACTAGTAGTTGTCAAGAAGGAACTCATTTATATTTAATCCTCTTTGGGGTTTCAGAACTTCAAATCAGATGGGCAGTAGACTGCCCATCCTTCTCTCGTGGAGACCCTGGTGGATTTGAACCACTGGAGAAGCATGGACTTTGGGTTAACAGCACACCTCCCTACAGACCAAGTCAGCAGAGCTCCCTTGTCTTCTCATAGCTAGGACATTATCAAACACAATTTCAGTGTACATGAGACCTCCAGGAGTTCCTGACATCCCTGGACTCCAAGAGCTTCCATCTAGAGTCTACATCATCAAATAATCATCACAGCTATGACTTGGTACCAGATATTTCCTAGATTATGTTTCCAGATCCAATACCAAAGCTATACCTCCAGAACTCTACTCTATTCCCAGATGCTGACTCTTATTTAAAATACTGGTGGAATAATTTGTAGCATCATAGCAACTCACAAGCCACAACAACATGACAAACTGACAGATGGATATTTGTTAATTATTCAAACCTCCAATTCGTCATGCTATGGGTTGGGTGCATAATCTATCGAAGGAGTCTATGGAATACTATGCAGCACGCAGGAACAATAACTTTGTAAATGATTATCTAACTTGAGAGGGACTGGAGAGCATTATGCTGAGTAAACTAACTCAGTCCCACAAGGATAAATATTGTCTAAGACCGTTATTGTAGAATGAGTGTAAGGATCCAGGATGGGTAGGAGAGGCTGGAAGCAGAGGGATGTGGTTGTGCAGGGGGGCAGGGGGACTAATCATTGGATTGTACAATTTTGTGGATGGGGGGTTGATGGAAATTGAAAGAATTTGTTTGAATTTGTATTAGAATTGTCAGCTTGAAAAGGGGAAAGGGAGGGAGAGGGGGTAAAATGTACAATGAGTGTATGAAAATCTAACTTTTCTGTAAACTTTTGTTAAAATGACAATTAAAATAAAAAGTTTTATTTAAAAAAAAAAAAAAAAGGAGTCTTAGTGCTCCAATGGGTAAAATACTAAGCTGTTAACCAGGGGAGAAAGACCTGCTTTTATCAAAATGCCACCGTTGTACAGTGTCTGGGCAGTTCTACCTTGTTTTGCAGGATCACTATGAGTCCAATTCAGCTCCCCAGCAATAGGTCTGGTTCAGGTTAGAAGGCCTTCTGTGCATATTGATTTCAATTCCTCCTTGATGCCATCCAACTAGCATCAATTCATTCCGTCTTTACGGCATCTTATTCAATAATTAACACACCTCACTTGATAGCATATGCATCCTAAAGATATCCAGCCATAAATCAATTCAGTCATCCATCGTCTTCATTCCTATCCCAGATTATTACGTGATCCTGGGGAAAACTAGACTGATAATTCACAATCAAATTTTGCTGATACCTCATTTACAAGTAATAACCCACCTAAATCAAGCCTGAACTTGTATCAAACCACTAAAATTCTAGCAAAGATTAGAAAGTGAGTTTTTGTGTGTATGAGAGAAAAATTTATATTTCAGTTAGCCAGCTGGACTCAATTTAGATGATCCCAATTTTGTTGTGGCAACATCCAAAACATCATAGTCAGGAGCAAGTTCAACATAGCCCTTCTCTCCATCAAACCTAATCAAGGTGTTGATTTTGGCCACAACAGTGTCATAGAGCTTCTTTACAGTTTATTTGATCTGGTGCTTGTTGACCTTGACATCCACAATGAACCTAAGTGTGATATTATGATCTCTCTTCTTCATGGCTAACTCAGTGGTCAGGGGAAACTTTTGACAAGAGCATAATAGTCAAGCTTGTTTCTCCCAGGGACACTCTTCCATGGGTGTTTCAGCTGCCTTCAGAATTTCAGTCTTAGGCCTCCAGAAGGCATTACCTCAGGACCGCTTTCTTGGCCTTTAATGCCTTTGCCTGG